TGCAATTATTGTAAAAAAATCATGAAAGGAGGAATTACAAGAGCAAAGCAACATTTAATGGGAAAGAAGGGAAATGTTGCACCTTGTCAAAGTGTTCCACAAGAGGTTAAAGATGAGTTGTGGACACTTGAGAAAAATAAGAAGATGAAAGAAAGTGAGTCATGCCAAAGAGTAATGGAAGATGTGACTCTTGGTAGTGAAGATTATACATTGGAGGGAGATTTAGGAGAATTAGAAGTTGAGACACTTGGGGCCAATGAGAGGAAGAAGGTTGCTATGAAAAAGGGGCCTATTGACCTTTTCTGTAAACGTCCGGAAACAGCAATTGCAAAAAACAAGAAGGAGAAATTGAAGCAAATAAGTATAAGGGAGAGTTGTGACAAGGAAGCTACAGCAAGGGTCCACCAAGGAGTTTGAAGACACTTGACTATACATTGACTAGATAATCAAGGAGCCACTGAAACCTTGAGTTCAAAAGAACATATCCTGACAATAATCACAAACGGCATGGATAAAAAGGAATCGTCAACATTAACCTTAAAACGCACAGGTTAATTTCCCGACATTAAAAAAAATTGAATTGCATGTTTAAGACTAAACACGTGAGCATAAACTGCATCGCATGCATATGAGGTAGGGGTATATGGAAGGGCGTTACACAAAAAAATGGATTCAAATTCTCTAATACAAGTTCTGATATTAATTTGGATTGATCTTATGTCTTCCCTCCCGAGATTCCTCTCGGCCAAGGGTGTGGCTTACTTCTTTGGTTAAGTCAATTTACTTCTTCGAGCATATTGTTTAATACAACAAATGAAGGAAACCAAACACTGAAATTTCATTAAAGGGCTCTATCGGCCCAACAAGTACATTAAAAAGGCTCTGACGGCCCGTTACAAAAAAAAAACAAGGAAAAAACCTAAGACTCCACCTCTGGTTCCCCCTGGACTGGACCATCCTCCGGCACCTCCTGCTCGTACGCCGTCTCTTCTTCATTTGGCCCCACCTGTCGAGCCGGCGCCTCCTCGTCGGCTTGTTCATTAGCAGGGGTCCACTAACTCCCCCCCGAAGAAGTCTTTGGTAATGTCCAGGTGGAAGTCGGGGGGGAACCTTCCATAAAAGGAGGCTTGCCGAGCCGCTTGCACAAAATCGACCTGATGCTAAGAAAGTACCTTGTTGCGTGCTTTCTCCTTGTAGGCCCCGAAAGCTACTTTCTCAGCCTCCAACTCCTTAGCCAGCACAGCTGCATTCTCCGTCTCGGTTTTCAAAGACAGTTCAAGATGTTGGACCTTCAGAGCTAAGTCGTCAGCCACGCGCCCTAGGCGGTCCATCTTGGCCTGAAATTTAGCGTTGGTCGTTTGCGCATCGGTCAAAGCAGTTAAAGTTTCCTACAACGACTTCTCCTGCTCATATAGTTGCCGGCGCAACCTGTCGGCCTTGGGATTCGGCTCCATCACGATGCTTTGAGCCAAAGCCACCGCTCGCACTTGGAGCTCGAAGAAGAAGTTCCACTTCTGGGCCGGACTCATACGGCTCAAAACCCCCTGACCTGATGCCGAAGTCAGGTATTGGCTAAGGAAATCCTGAGCATTGACGTTAGCCGCCAAGAAGTTCGGCTCCACCAGACCTTGTGGAACCGGCAGGGTCGCCAAACGCGGTTGATTGGCTGGATGACCACGATCAACGGCCCGGGCTTCCTTGGGCCTTCTTTTTTCAGCCTGGGGCTTAGACGGACCCTTGCCCCCTTTCCTCGCCTTGGTGGCCAGCTCGGCTCTGCCACCTTGGGGAGCAGATTGATTCCCACCCACGCGCCCTTCGGCCGGGGTCTTTGTCACTGTGGCCGCAGCCACTCAGTTTCCGATCAGTTGTCGGATATCCAGATCATCGCTTCCAAAGCTTGCCATGATACCTACACATCATTAGTCAAAATCAATGATAACGTAAGAATTCAAATAAGTAGGAAGGTTACTATACCAATCAATTCCTCCGCTATGTTGGCCGATTCAAACAACCGAACCAAAGGTCGGCACGGCAACGGCCGAGGTAGCTTCTCCAAAAAATTTAAACTCGCCCTCTCTTTTGGGGACATCTGGGACTTCGACACCGTGTCGTATTTTCGTGGCTTCCGAGTCCAGTATAGTGGGAAAAGCGGCTTCCCTTCGGCATCAAAAAAGTACTTATTCTCCATGGCTGGCCGGATCATCACCTTGATAAATCCCACTTTGAATTTCTTGTAGGAAGTTGTAAAAGGTTGTAATAAACAATCGCCATGCTGAACCAGTGACAACTATTTAACTTTCCTAGTCAGCCAGGACGAATAATAATATAGAAACAGATGAGGGGTAGGTTGGATGCCGAGCGCCAAACATAGCTGCCGGAAACCCTGCATGGTCGCCCAAGTGTTCGGGTGGAGTTGGCTCGGGGCCACGTTCAGAAGCCGAAGTATACCCGCAAAGTAACCATCAAAGGGAAGCGTCACGTTCAAATCTCAGAACATGTAGTCATATACATAAAAGAATTGGTATTTGTATGTTCCTTGGTCCAGGTAAACAAAATCAGGGTTTGGCCCTCCATCGCTTCGGCACGGCTGGAAGAAGATAGGAGAAGGCTCCTCTTATTCTGGAAAGGTCAGGAATTTCACGGCCGAGACAAAAAACGCTATAGAATTCCTGTTAGTGTAGCGCGAGTAGACACTGCCAACCTCCCCATGTACCCACGAATAACCAGGGGTTTCTATGGGTGGAAAACGCCGAGAACCCGACCTGACCTTGTGCGTCGCAGGCCGGCCATCAGAAATTATAACCGACGAAGATTCGTCGCCGCTTGGAACCTGTTCGGTCCTCGAACGGTCGCCATCTCATCTGACCCATTCGACGCCGAAGCCGATTCGTTCTGTCGACCCAGCTCGGAGTAAGGTCCGGTGCCGGAAGAGTCACCCGTATCCCCAGAGGAGTCAACCTGAACAACATCTATATCTGCCATAATAACGTACCTCGAAGTGAAGCTTGATCGGTCTTGCTAAAAGGAAATGCTTGAACGCTACAGCTGCAACGCGATTTCGGCTCGGAGCAAATAAGAAATACATATCTCTTGGGTCCCCACCACACACCTATTTATAGGCCTTTCTCATATGGATTTCAAACGCCACACCCCCTGATCACCGTTGGATCATTCTAATCCAACGGTTCACAAACAGCAACTCTTCGCTTACCATCATTAATATCCAACGGTTACGAACCCAACGGTCACAACACTTCATATTACCACAGTTAATACCTAACAGCTGCGTGTCCAACGGTCACAACTCCTCATGTTCCAACCCAACCGCCATAATCCAATCATCACGCTTAACCTTTACGTCGTTTCACTCCTAAAGGCTAGGGGGCTTGTGTACCGGAGGGGTCGTATCGGTCACGTGGACCAACACGTGTCGTCCCGTCAAACACCCACGCGAACTCAGGACATGACTACGTATATGGTCTTTAATGGTGCTTAACGTTGGCTCGGCCTGTGGCCGAAGGCCGAGAAGGTTCAACAGCAACATTGGTTCATAAAAGCCATAGCAACACGAGAAGGCTTCATGTGTCCCTACGTATCGGACCGGCCTAAGGCCGATAGCTAAGGATGACCCATCGCGCACCTATCGGTCCGGCCAAAGACCGAGGACAATCAACACCCCGTCTTAGTCTATCGACTCGGAAAGGAGCCGATAGATAAAGGCAAGGATTACGGAAATAATCACAATTAACGAGAACAAACGCACGATTAAGGTATAATCAGTCGATTAACGTCATATTACCTAATTTGGTAAGCTTCAGAAGAGGCCCACTACGGGCAGGGCCCATCAAAGATAGTATAAATAGGTCGCTCATAACGAGGTACGTCACTATTCATTTATTACCCTAGAAAATCGTTTTTGTCCTGACTTAAGCGTCGGAGTGCCTTTTGCAGGTACCTCCCCCCTCCAGAACATCCACCTAAAGTCCACGTTCGACCCTTCTACCCACCAGAAGATTACGGGTGTGCCCTCAGACAAGTACACTACTCACTCCTAATAGCAATTATCACCTTTTTTTTTTATCGGTAAGAAAGTAAAAGCACAAAAAAGTACAAACTATATATCCTTTAATGTAACAATAACAAGTACCAAGAGCTTCTGCCATAAATTGGAGAGATACATAAGGAACGAGGGCAACTGTTCCATGTTACAATTTCATCTTCAGAAAAGGAGCCTTGCCTTGCCAGTCAGCTATCACAGATTCACAAGCATTGTCTTCTCTATAATTTGTTGGATGCATACCTTCTAGATAAAGGAGAGTAGATGACAGATCTTCAAGATAATGCCTGCATAAAGATGTTATTTAATCATAACTTGTTGAACAAGTTCGATTGCAGCTAGTGAACCGAATCACACATCACATTACGAAATCCTTTGCTCCAAGTGAGATAGAGACCATAATACAGACCAAAGAGCTCCACATTCAAGTTGGTAGTGATGCCACGTTCCCCGAAGAACCCTATAATTCATTGATCAAGTCAAGTCGAAAATTAAGAGTGTAAACAAGTGATGTTAGATTGAATTTGATCTTTATTAAGCTTAAATCCACTTAAATATAATGGGTTAGATTAGGTTAGAATTTTGTCCAAACAATCCAAATCAACTAAACTAGAATTAGGTTAGGTTGGATTATGTAATAAAGTTGATTATATTTTAATTTTAAAAAAATAAAAAAAAATTAGAATTGGATAAGTTGAGTTAATGCGTGCATCTTGCTCGCTTACATGCATACTAAAAATTATGTATCAATACATTATAAGTGTACAAATTTAAAAATTGAATTAAAATTATTTAATTAAAAATAAAGTACCAAAATCTTAAATTAAGAATGAAAATAGGATTAAAACTCAATTTAACCTTTTTTATTTATAATTTTAGTCTTTAACTCTCATAACTTATTTAATAAAACATTTTTATAGAGCATCTAATTATATAGTTAATTATTTTTCATGATTAAATTTTTTTTCTTTGTTTAGAAAAACCTTTTTTCTATGACTTTTACATCATTCTAGCTATCTAGCATAATAGTCAAGACAAGTGAATTAAATGATAGAAGACTTTAATTACTATTATTCAACTCTCCCTTTTTTATAATAAAACATATTTTTATTAGACATATGTTTTATACGACTAAACATTATTATTCAGCTCACTTATTTCTCATAATAATACATGTTCTTCTTCTTATTATTATATATATATAAGTATATATAAGAATGATTTACTTATTTTAAAAATAAATTTATCTAAACTTATTTCATTCAATATCAAATTTTAATAATTAAATCATTTAATTAAAAATTATTAATACATATATCAAATTTATAAATTTATAAAAAAATTTAATGATTATAAAATAAAGTATTAAATAATTTCTAATATTTTTAAAAAATTTTAAATTTAATAAAATGTATTAAAAAAAATAATTTAATAGTTGGGATTGAAACAATATAAAAATTATTTTATTTTATATAAAAAAATTTATAATCTAACACAAAAAAAAAATGAAATGTAAAATAACAAGCGTAAAATGATTGAAAGATATGACAAATAACAGTGTTATATTAAAATAGTCATAAAAAATTGTTATATGAATAATATATTTTACTAATTTATGTTTCATAGTGAGCTTTAACTACAAAAAAAAAATGTGTTATTTATGGTAGTTATTTTGGTAGTTTCTAGCGGTCAGAAACCGCCACAAATAGCATTATCATGTCATTAATAACTATCAGATCTACAGTTGACAAAAATCGTTTGTGGCAGATATTTTGTAAACATTGGATGTGGGCGTCAAAAAATTCAATCACGGTTTTAAATTGCCAAAAAATATATTTTTCAGTTGTCTCACGTTTTCTAACAGTCTAGATTCAAGAAGAAGAAAAAACTATATAAGTAAATTAATTTAAAAAAAGGTATATATAAAAATGAAAACGAAGGTAAACCCAACAGTGAGTTCATGAAATCCAACAGTGAGTTCAAAACTTGGTCTGCTGCTTCATGAAAAGATTTGTCCAGCCTTGGATAAGGGACCATAACAACAGACCTGCATGAAATGTACCAAAAAATATAAAGAAATTGAAGATAATACTCCAATTGCACAATGTATTCATGCTTAATCAAAATAACATGCAACTAATTGGTAAGACATAGGAATGGGTAGCTAACTAAAATATCACCACAACTGGGTAGTATAAGGGACTACACTAAATGCCTTCTTAGCTTGACATCATGACCGAACAAATCATTATTCATTTTTAGTTACCTATAGAGTTTTGTCACTTAATGTTTTACCCTTTTCAAATTTAAAATTATATTATATATACTTTGCTCATGAGTCAGAGCCAGACTGATAGAGTTTATAAAATCCACAACTAATTTGTGAATTAGCTCCAGTCTTGAGCCGTCTGACAATCTCTAGGCTAATTTCTATCCTTCATGAACTAAATAGTGTAATATAATTTTTTAGAGTAAAAAATCAATCACCCTTGAATCCTGGAGGTTAACCATAGTATGTAATTTAGTAAATATTAAATTTAATCGATACAGATAAAAGGTTACAGAAATGACAGGAACCTTCATTTTTGTAACGTGTAAATTGTGACAAGCAATCATACTACACAGTTCTTTCACTAACTATCTGACTTGTAAAAGAAAATCAATTGCAGCTTAAAATTAGTTGAGATTCAAATTTAGCAATTGCAAGGACATACAAGAGAGTGGAATCCATTACCCAGCTTTAGATATTCGTATGTCACAGTTTCTAAGGCCTTAAACATGCATATGTAATAAACATACTATTATATCAGCAGAGTCATGCACTCCACATACAAGGGAGAGAGAGAATCAAAGGAGCCTACTGAACATATAAACATTAAAATGATGCAATCTGTCATAACTGTTAGGTGGAAGAAATTGTTCTGATTAAAGAATGCAAAGATTTCATCAATTCTAGATCAGCGAATTGCTTGTGCATATATTTTATAGACTATATAACGTGCAAGTAATAATGCAGGGTCTTAAACTGATAGATCTAGCACTAAATAATCCACCCATTCTACTAAATGCCGAGACATTTTGGCAACCATAGGCTGTTACATTCAAATTTTAAAATATGAAAAATAAAGATATCATTCAATGCTTCAACCCACTTACATTCCTGCATTCTTAGCTACGAGAACTCCTGAGGGCGCATCTTCAAAAACAAGAATGTTACAAGGATCTACAGGTCCACCCTGTTGACAATCATCATTAACAACAACATCAATGTGTGATTGCAAACTTGACAAGTCAGAAATACAATAAAATGAACCCAAATTCAAATTCAAATTGAAAGTAGGAAAAGAAGGCATCTTTAATCCTTTATTCTGCAGAAATTGTCAACAAGTGCACCACATTCATTAATTGGTAGTATACCTCAAATCTCTTGGCTGCAGCAAGAAATCCATCTAGGGAAGGCTTTGAGTTCATGATGTCTTTGAGTTTTCAATTCAAAATGTCGCATGTGAGAACTGTAGGGCAATTCTCAAAACAACTTTGCATCAAAAATCCTTCAAATTTCAGAATAGATTGAGCCACACATCCAGCTTAACATTCATCCATGCTATTTCCCTTATTGTTCCTTAAAAACTCAACATTCACTACTATAGAGAATAGTCAGATAGATGTACAGCTATTAATAAAAGTAACTTAAAACTTGAACCAATTTCTTATCACAATCTGCTATGCTACTTGGACCATACAGTTATCAACACTGATAATATATAAAGCCAGAATAAAATTTGCATCCAACTGTTTTAATTTATATTCTAATTATTGAAAAACTACAAGAGAAGTTTTCATTAGAAACCAACAAGTAAAATTTATGATACCACTAAAAATTAATATAATTCAAAGGAAGTGACCTGTCTAATCTATCTGTTCCTGCTAATAACAACAGATTTGGAACAAGACATGACAAAAATATATCTGAGAGGCCTTCATACCTGTAAGAAAAACTATAAACTGTTTAATGGGACGATAAATATACCATGAAAGCTACTTTCAATTTGATGGCAAATTTAGCCTAGTTCTCTCTGTCTAGAATCAAGTAATCATATTTTGCATTACAAGAAAGTATATTAATGATTCAACATACAATTATCAAACACCCCCCCCCCCCCCCAAAAAAAAAAAAATTGGGAAAAGAAAGAGCCAATATTCATTGTTTTATGTGATTGCTTTGTATAGAAACCCATAGCCAAAATCCAAATACATAACAATCACAAGTGAAGCCCCAACCAATCCACCTCTTACTTAGAACACATATAAAAAGTCATTGGTTCATTCAAATTTAGTATTTGTAACTGTTGTTAGCAGCAAAATCAAGATAAAACATAACCAGCCTTTCCAATATTGTTGAGTCTCCAGCTAAGTTCGATAAAGATAACTGCAACATCAAATCAACACCACACCAATCAAACAATAAACTAAAAATAAAGCCAATGTAACTAGCTTGTTTAGAATGGAAAAGGGAACAATATTATATTTTGAATTATTCTACCAATGTAATGAAAGGCTAAGAGAAGCACTAACCATTTCTTTGAATCATCATACTTTAATGTGGCAAGGACTGATACACGACCAGAATCAATATTTCTTAAAGAGCCACCCCAAACACTCCATTCAATCTTCACAAAAATCATTCCAACTCAAGTCAAAATTCAACAGAATAAATGAAACAACAGTGAAGCATTACTTAAACCAAGAGCTTACATTACATAGGTACATTAACGTGAGAATTTCATGTAAATGTTTCAACATATTAGTCAGGAGCAACACTGATAGGATCCTAATCTTATCACACACAAAAAAAAATTTCTTTAATTTTTTCAAAAAAAAATCAAATCCAAATCTGTGACTAGAGTAGATAAATAACGTTGAGATCCAAGTAGCCAAAAAGAGAAATATAAAAAACAATTTAAAAAAAAAAAAAAAAATTGTGTGAAGTAATATAATTTACCTAACCAAATCGATGATGTTGTTAATTGGAATAAAAATGAGCTTGACAAAAAAAACCAAAGAATCCCATCACGATGAAACCAATTGCGATATGCACGGCAACCTTGGAGAATTCTAAAATACAAAATTAAAGGCAGATTCCCATGTGAGTGCCAAAGGAAGATTCTGCGCCTTTGAAATCATTCACAATCCTCATGAAATCACTCGCAAATTGAACAAAGAAACCATTACATTCAATTCCATTTCAAAGTGTTTCATCCAAAATACCTGTAGAGGCATCCAAACGCTAAATTATCGCGATTGTTGGAAACGTTGGCCTTCGAATTCGTCCAAGCTTAAATGCATGACTTTCTCAAACCGAAACCATTGAATCTGCCTCTCTGTACTAATGAGTCTATCCAAGCTCAAACGTGCCGGTGAAGAATTTAATTTGAGAAGAAGAATTTTGAAAAAAGTGTGAGAGAAAGAGAACCGTGAGTGCTCGAAGGATAAACAAGTTCTTTATTTTTATTTTTTTTAAAATAATAAAAATATATATTTTAATTAAGGTAGTTACGTGGCAAAAATGTAATTTTTTTTAGCAATTAAAATAACTGCTAGAATTATAATATTTTGTGATGGATATTTTAATACCCTAATTTGTATAAATTAATCTATAAACCTGAAACAATATTTAAAAAATTAATGCATAACTGTAAACTTGTAATAAGATGCATGCATCCTAAAAGAAAAATAAAAGAGAGGAATACCTTACTAGAGATTTTTGAACACAACATCCAAACAGAAATAATATGTAGGCAAGATATTGTGTGCCACACACTACACATGCAGTACAAGCAACATGACATCTATTTATCGAATAATATATTTATTTTGCTAAATGTTGTATTCAATAGGAAAGCAGATCATGAATGCATTGATAAGAATAGAATACTAGTTTATGCACCAGCTTCATATGGCAAAAGAAAAAATGATGAATATATATGATTTTATTATCTGACAATACCCTCATTGATGATAAACTATCAGGAAGTTTCAGGGAACGACATTGTGATGGTTCATTTATTTCTGTCAGCTTCCAAATCCTAGATTTATCCATAGCTTCATCAACAATTCTAGGTTTCACATCAGCTAAACTTCGAGTATCATTATTCTACAAAAAAAATGAAGAATACAATTAAAAACAAAAGGAGAAATAGAGTCCTCATTCATTACCAGATTTATATGTGGAAAAACTCACAATCCCAACCATGGCTGCTACTGGAGGAGCTCTATCAGCAAGGCTTGTTCCAACAGTCACATTGCTAGAAGGAAAAGATCCAAAAGAAGGTGCCTGAATTTAACATGAAGGATTTAGAACATGTACTTGAAGAAGATTAACTAAATACTAAAAGTTTTACCTTCACAACAACGGCAGAAGCAACTCTAGAAGCATCAAATGTACGATTCTCCACTGTCCGAAGCAGCCTAATTCCTAATTCCTTCTGTATTAGCTAGAATTTTAACACCATTGTCATTTGTTGAGACAGCCATCAGTATTCCATCCTTGTTAAATCTAATATAGGGGGAAGCCTGCAGATTTCAAATACTATGTGTAGCACATAATAAAACGGGGAAAATATATTAAATTCCTACATGAACAGGACAGAACAGAATGCCTTCCTTCACCAATAAGGGATTAATTTCAAACAATCCAACAACCCTACCCCTTAGGCCTAAATCAGAAAAGTTATGCACTCAAAAAATTCACACCCAGGGACAACATAAAGCTGTAAAAACAACAACCAACCAACCTCAACGAGATGGCACTACGTGGATCAAACAACACTATCAGGGCAGCATAGAGACATAACACGTAGTAGTAAAATAGTTTTACAGCGTATTCATTTAATTAGCATATACCAAACCCAACTTAGAGCCCATTTGTATTAAATTTGAATGGAACTAGTTCTAATAAAATCAATTTGAATGGAACTAGTTCTATTTGGGATGTATGTCCAAATTAATCTGAATATCATATTTTACATTGAAATGTCTGACAGAGGGAGGAATTGATTTTGCACGACTCCCAATCAGGTACTTAATATATGTCAATGCCAAACAAACTCAGGATGTTAGAACATAATGAAGAACAGCTCCCTAAGCTGTTTCCTAATCAAAACCAGTCCCCTTCTCAGTAAAGCTTCACTTTTTGGGTTGCATAGATGATTCTTTTGCACACACAACTGATTTAGATAACAAACATTTTCAAATCGTACACAATAATAATAATAATCTCCGTTAACCAAGACAGGTTGTTCGTTCATATAAACATTAGAGCAAGTTGCTACAAACAAATAACAATATCAAATCAGAGCTGCATCATATGGGAGAAGGTAAAAGTAACACTAATACCAAGTAGAAATTCAAACTCACCATGAAATAAATAAAGGGAAAGAGTGATGCCACAGGCAACATTGTATTGAAAAACAGATATGATTATTTGAAAATATAGGATATGGTGTAAGATACATATTTAGATATGTATAAAATATAGAAGAATGCACTCAACCAACCAACCCAGCCACTCTGCATGTCCACCCATAATTGCCGCTGATCGCTAAGTGGCTTACTAGAAGTCTGAATATCCCTTCTTTCTTACCAAGGATATGGATCCATAATGTGATAAGTTTACCCATTTATTGGGATTGATTGTAGTGTCTCCTTGACTTTCAGATACATGTGTGAGAATGCTAAAATTGAGGCTACAGTGTAAGTTAGTGTTGCTTGCAAACTAATGATCCATAAACCAATTATTTAAAATAAAAGTCAAAAGAAAGGACAAATGGATGAAAGGGAAAAGTTTGTTTCACACTTTTACCATTCTAATAACATTAATAGCTCCGTGCTTTCGTAGACACAATGGTGAACCATAATGTTGTTATCTGCAAGGAGATCACTACACTGCCTGCATCAAATTAATGGCATACATGTACCTCGTTGTTAGTTCAAGTGTTTGTTCTTTCATCTTTTCTACTTCTAAAATTGTCGATTATGCATGTTAAGGTAAACTTGATTGAACACTTTCTAATAATGCATGGTTCAACGATAAAATTATTTTTTTATTATTAATAATTTAAAATAATAAAATTAATTTATAAGTAATTATGTAAATAAAAATTAAATTAGATAATTATCCACGAAATTACCCACGAATGTGTCCGTGGGTAATTATTTTTTATTAATAATTTATGTTAAAAATAATAAAATTAACTTATAAGTAATAATGATAAATAAAAACTAAATTAGATAAAAAAATTTAAAAATATATAAAATTCTTATAATTAAAGAAAAGTCTCTACAAACGTTATGATACAATAAAGACATTTGTGTTTTATATATAGAAGTTAATTATTCTTTAATTAGCTACTAATTTTCATTTAATATATATTTATACAAATTTTAAATATGATTTATTGATTTAACTATAATATTTATTTATATATATAATTTATTATAAATTTTAATTATAATAAATAAAAATGTCACTTGTGAAATACTCAAACTAAAAGATTAATATTTTTTAATTTAGATAAAAATTATAAAATTATATTATATTGTAATTTGTGAAATATACTGGAATGAAAGGGATCCAAAGATTGTACAAGTATGAGATTATATGGTTGAAGATGACTTAAAGGAATTAATTTGTACTATTTATACCAATGAGATGCATCTACTCTTTGGTAGCTTATTCCTTAAGAACTTCACAGTTAAGTGTGCTTGACATGGGGTAATTTAGGGATGGGTGATCTGGGAAGTTTTCCAGAAAAATGTGCAAGTGACAACAAGGCACGCTGAAAAGTCTTGTGTTAATTCATGAGGTTTGTGGGGTCAATCTTTGATCCTAAAAGCATACGAATATCTCAAAAAGGGTTACCCATGGAGAGCTCTGATTGGTGAAGGGTTTTGACCAACGAGGAGTTGCATGAAGTGTCATGGAGTGGAGCTGCTGAAAGGTCAGATATGAGAGATGGTTGCACTAAATAAGGATGTTATTTAATATAATTTTGAAATAATTTTTTAAAAATATTATCAACAATACCCATGGATAAAATCCGTGGGTAATTACCCACGAATAATCCGTGGGTAATTCCGTCGGAAAGTTACCCATGGATTATAATCCATCGGTAAATGTTTCAGACGAGCAATTTTCTGACGGATTATTGTCCGTTTGTAATCCGTCGGAAATGAAGTGTCACCCATGGAGTTTTTGGATTACCCACAGATTTTGGTCGTCTGTATTTCAAAATTTCTTGTAGTGTATGTGCCTATACTTTATTGCAATATTATTGATGACCCTCCAATTGGTGCGCATCCTCCATTTGCCATATTTCTTTGGTACCAAAAGAACAGGGATGACACAAGGGCTAAGACTCTTTTGAACCTAACCCTTCTTCAATAAGTTATCAACTTGAGATTCTATCTCTTTGGTCTCTGGGAGATTAGTCCTATAGGCGGGCCTATTTGGAAGACTTGCCCCGAGTATGAGATCTATTTGATGTTCTATCCCTCCTAAAGGTGTAAATCCACTTGGGACTTCTAGAGGGAATAGGTCATCAAACTCTTTTAAAAGCATTTGAACCTCTTAAGGTAGAGACTCGAGTTCATGACTAGTGGAAGCTAGTGTCTCTTTGAAGTAGATAAGGTATAAAGGTTGTTCACACAAAAGTATTCTTTTAATATCATTTTTTAGTGAGAAATGACTTTGGAGAACAACTTCCTTAGAGGAAACACTTGCCTCTAAGTTTGATACCTTTTCTTCCCATTCTATATTCTTCAAGGGAAGATCTTTTTTTTGCTTTTGTTTCTCTCTCTCTCTCTTTCTTCTCTCTTGGCTTTCATTTTGATTTAATCCTCACTCACTTGTGAAAGTGATAGAGGACACAAAACAATTTTCTTACCCAAGTGATGGAAACTTATTTTATTAGTCAGGCCATCATGAATGATTTTCTTGTCAAATTGCTAAGGTCTCCCAATTAGAATATGACTAGCATCTAATGGCACTATATCCAATAAAACTTCATGTTTGTACTTGCCAATCACTAGTACAAAAGGGATAATTTACGTCTGTTATTTTAAGCTTTTTATGTTAGAAAAAAGTCCAACAATAATGCAGGATACGTAAATTTATGTCGGCTAGTAAATTTACGTTGGTTGTGATAGTCGACGTAAATTTACGTTGGACATTGCCAAGACCCGACGTAAAAAAGTTGTAAACAAAAAAAAATATAATGAGTGCACACAGAACGAGCCATTCTACTTGGAGAACAAATCGTTCTACTTGAAGAACGAGCCGTTTTGCTTGAAGAACGACCATTCTGATTGGAGAACGGGTCGTTCTGCTTGGAGAACGGGTCGTTCTGCTTGGAGAACGGGCCGTTCTGCTTGATTTTAACTAATATATTAATAAATGATGATCCACCCAAATACGAAGAAGAGGATAATATTAACTAATATATTAATATATCAATACATACATTTATTTTCAACAAATTAGCTAATATATTAAGAAAAGATTTTCCAAACTAACCTCAAACGTGAGCCCAATGCAATCGGTAAAAAACTCAAGAATCACCCAAACGCCCAAACATACACTTAGATGCAATGCACTCAAACAAAATATTAACTCAAAAGACTCGTTTTGCACATACACTCAAAGCTCTATTGTTTAAATATTGACGCGTACGCGAAGAAGAGGAAGTGGCGCGGGAGAAATTTGTAGATATTTTACGTCAGACCTCATAGGGGCTAACGTAAATTGGAAAATCTACCTCTGACACAAGCTATATCCGACGTAGATTTTCAAATTTACGTCGGCCCTTATGAGGTCTGACGTAAAAATCTTGATTATAATTTTAAAAATGCCAGCGCATTTTTTTAACGTCGAATTTTTCTTTGTCCGACGAGAATACAGTGATGTAAATTCCATATTTTGTACTAGTGAATGGAGATGGGTATATTTACTTGTTGGTTGACTACAATACCTCATATAGGGACCCGATATCTCTATCATTGTCAACTGGCAGAGTCTATGATCCATCCAAAGTATTTGAGCTAGAGTAAATGGTTATCACCTTGAGTATGACTTCCAACAATGACCTACAAGCTCAATGCCATCCCTTCGGTCGACTATACACCAACTACTCCCTATGGTCATATCTCTTGCCCCTAGATATAAAAGGAAATTATAGTGTGCAAAGGTTTATGTATAGTTAATTTCAAGCAAGTGTGGAATTTAAACAAATATGTTAATATTAAAGTCATACTAAACAAACAAATATTTACAAACAAGGTAAAATGGGTAAAAATTTAATTATTATTTTTATTATGCCAAATTCATCATTAAATGGGCTTGACCCTTTTTAAGCTTCCCAAGTGGAGTCTCCATCTGTTAGAACTCGAAAAATTTTGATATTTCCCGTAGATGGTTTGGACTTGTCGTAACCCGAAAAATTTTAGTCTTACGACTAATGGTTTAGACTTCTAA